GGACTAACGCCGACAAGTGGGGACTAACGCCGACAGGTTGACACTAACGCCGACAGGTGGGGACTAACGCCGACAGGTGGGGACTAACGCCAGATCCCATCAAATGTAAAGCGTTTACTATGACCCTCATGGTCATAGTTACAGCGCCAAATGTGCTGACCTTATAACTCTACTGAGAACCCGTTCTGAGGCCAGCAGACGGCAGACGTCTTCGACCGCCAGCAGAAATGCTGAAATCCCAAGTGGTCTGAACTTTGGTCAGCACTTTCCTGCGTTCCGTAGCCAAGTAAAGCGGTCCGTATTGGTCCGCCGGTGATGACGGCTAGTAAACTTTAGCGAAGCGTTTACGGTATGCGTTCCAGTTCGCTCATTAAATGCATGTTTGCAATATTTTATGTAACCGACGTGCTTATTGTGAGACGACGTGCATCTGCAGTGAAGCATTTAGGTATTTGGAGAATTGACCTTGGACATTGCGTTTGCGCATTGAAAAACAGCATTGTTTTGTAATCGTATGCTTGGCAGGCTTTCATCGCATGGTATGTCAAATGCTCATGGTCTGATACGTAGGTCAGTGGTCTGATACGTAGGTCAGTGGTCTGATACGTAGGTCAGTGGTCTGATACGTAGGTCAGTGGTCTGATACGTAGGTCAGTGGTCTGATACGTAGGTCAGTGGCGTAGCCAGGATTTCGCGCCGGAAGTGCCACATTGAATCATAGACAAAGGCCCTTTCAGACATAGGGATGCCCTTTATGGCTTAATAGGGCCTCCTTAGGGCCTTAGTGCCTGTCTCTTTACATTGGGCCTGTTTTAGCTCGGCTGCGTTTTTAGGTTCGGAATTTTATTTTCATATCTCAGACGTCTTTTTGAGACATCTTCTGTTTTACAAGCCTTACAGATGTCTTAACTCTTATCCCTGACCTGATAAAGGGTGTTGCACGGTTGGTGCGACCCCTTTAAGTCTTTTAAGGACGCTTCTCCGGTATGCCGTGCCATTACGCTCACATTTTCAGTAGCCTGTAGGGCAAACTTGCTTTTTTACATTAAAAACGCGTCCCAAGTGTTTCAGCGACGGTTTTTGAAGAACAGTGCACGGCGATCTATGGTCCGCGGGATTGATGGAGAGCAACCGATGATACCGCGGAACGGGCGCAGTGGGCCAACATTGGTAAATTAACGGAGCCATGGGTCATAAATGTGTGGTCAGGACACATCAAAGTGTATACCTACCCTTGTACTAAGAAGTAAAGAAAAAGCATGCCTGTTTTAGGGTTCCTGTAGCTACAAGTCATGGTCTCGTACATACGAACATGTAACCTTAAAAACTTATATTTTCGGAACAAAATTGGCTTTTGACATAATGGGGGTAAATCTGACGTAATGGGGGTAAATTGTGAGCCCAGCAACATCAAACCTTTTACATATCGCGAGATCTCCTTGAGACCAATTCACCTGTATTTTCCGCTAAGCTCTGTCTTTTTTAGTTTGGAAGAAGCATCGGCGATTGCATCGACCCCCCACCCCTTCCCTATCAGTTCACGTTATATAAAACGGCGGATCAGGAGGAGGGTAAAGGTGCCAAAAAGTTCTGAGTTATTTAGCCCCAGGGGCCACTGTCAACTCCAGGGAAGGAGGCAAGACTCCAAAAGCTCCCCTTGCTTAGGCCACTAACGTAGCTGTGGTTTTACACGTGCTTGGAAGGGCGGGATCAATTTGACCCCCTCAAGGTTTTTACAAAATGATTCTCGAATGGCGCGGGTCCGCCTCGCCGTTCAAAGTTAATGGCAGCGTAGCCACAGCAAACTTTGTACACCTGTAGGCAATTGAACAGCGGATGTTTTCGATACAAGTATCAGATATAGGTACTTCATAAGTTTGCTGACATGTGACAGGTCAAAGTCAGGCTGCGACTGTCAGCGAAACCAATGTCTAGACAATTGTTTGATGTGATGCAAGAACAACTGATCATTTCCATTGACCTTGGGTAAGATATGAAGGTCAAGCTGAGGTCAAAACCAACCTGTTTTTTATTCGAGAGCTTGTTGTATGGGGTTAGTTTCTGGTGCCCATTTCGAATTTATTAATTACAGACCACAACAAACCATGAGCTTTTTTAATGTCAGAGTAGCTCATCGACCTAAAATGACTCAGGTCTACATTTTTTTTTTAGAAACGTACCGCCTAGTGTAATCATTGCCGCTGATTCAAAGTGCAAAAATCATAACAATCTCGTAGAATTTTGATCACCATGACTTTAAAAATGTCAAACAAGTTCGCTGATCTTAAAGGAACGTCAGTGAAGTTTTTGTAAGAATAGGTGTCTAGGTTCAAGGCGATTGCATGAGGAGGTATGCCGACACTGGACAACATTCTTGAGTTTGACCGTGTTTGACCTTATGTTACCCGAATGTCATGACCTAGGAAACTCAAGTTCTGATACAAGTCAGTTCACATGCAGGTTGACCCACCCTGTGAATAAGGTGTCTCTAGCACTCAAAGTTTTTATATCCTGTGGAGGTCAAATTAATCCCCTAAACGAAGGGATGCAACCGGCCACCCGGGTGCGTGTTAAGATATAATCTTCGTGCAAGGCCACATCAAAAGGACCATGGCAAACGCCGTGCAATTTTTGAGTTGCCAAGGCGAGTGACACCTTTGCGGTGGCACTCGATACCTAGTGATTGAGTTGTAAACAGGATTTTAGCTGCACGAGCCTTTATGAACAATAATCGGCATCTCTTGACATCTCTTGGTCTTTGCTTACATTGTCTTTACGAAGTCCACAGAAAGCGAGACGTCAAGTGGACTTAAAACCAGAGGATTGGATTGACCCTATGAATATCTGAATGGCTTAACTCGGTTATGTTTTGCTGAGCCGAATCCGATTGAAAAGCGACGGCTTTGAGTCACACAAAGACAAGGGACGATGAATCACAAACGCACTGCTGTAGGTGATAGCGTAACTAATCATGTATTAAGACATGTCTATTCGTTATTTTGAACGACAGCATGCGGTATAAATGCAAGTCCGTGTGCAAATATTGTGACCGCAGAAGCCATCATACGGGCATGTGAACAACCTCATTTCTTTTGTCCCACATTCACAGCCCAAACAAAAAAATCGAAATCTGAATTTCGAATGAAGAAAAGAAACAGTCGAATGGAGGGCGGGAGTTGCCAGGAACCTGATCATTGATATTTTAAGAATGATGTGTTGCTTTTCAGCATCATTATCTTTGCCAACTATGGAAAATATTTTTGGTGGGCTAGCATTTAGATTCATAATTGGTAGACTACAGAAATGTAAAAAATATGTGAGAAATGTAATGAAAAATCATTTTGCATAGCTTTATACTGCAAAATAACTTCCCCTTTATTTACATGCCCGTATTTTTCTGATCAGTCGGGTTTTGAGTAAGCTATCAAGCATGCTCATTCATCAGCGATATTAGACGTTATCGCAAATCATACCTAAGGCATAAACTCAGCGCGCAGAAGTGCCAAAATATCAAATTCGCGGGAAATGTGGAAACATGTTTGCCTTTTGACTGATATCGGAAAGGCCCCCCCCCAAAAAAAAAACGGAAAGGCACTGACCATTAAAACCATGGAGTCGCTTTTATATCGCCGCACCGGTATTACAGAATGCTGTGTGTCGTACGCCCAGCAGCTGTGGGCACAGTGGTACGTCTATTTGCACCTCCAATTATTACGCGAAAGAATACGTTCCCCAGTTTGATGTCAATTGCACAGTTGTGTGACCACTACGAGCACTAGAGAGTCTTAAGTTTGAATCAAAATGTGCGTAATTTTATCGCACGAACTGTAGTGATCATGGTCACATCACCAATGTCAGCTTAACGATTGTCGTGTGAGATAAGCCAAGCTGATTGGTCGTCGTTCGAGCTTCTCTGGTCCGGAGAATATATCCCTAAATGGCAGGGGTCGCTTTTGATCTCAGGCGGTCGCTGTTGTCGAAATACCCAAGACGGTGCCAGGTTACGTGGCCATATTTCCCACACGCTGCATAGTTATTCAAGTTGGCATTGCCAAGCACGGTTGGACGACTCATTAGACCCTGCAGCGCCAGTTCAAGGGTGCTCGTACCGTTTACGCTCCCGTGCTGAGCCGCCTGATACGCTGGCCGATGGTGACTTGCAGCCAGCCATTGCCGTTGCCTGTCCGACTCACAAGCGGCGGTAACGAGGCATCGCAACCCACCGCATCGTAACCGTGGTGACGCCACCGCCCTGAGCGCCCTCAGATTTGTTGTTGTCTCCATTCTCCAAACAATTACCGAGCGCTGATGCTGTGCAGTCTTCAGGAGAGCAGATTCGCTCGCCAAACAACCATGTCATTACTTTCTATTGCAAAACCATCCGGGAGCATTAGCGTTGTCCGTGGTCCACTTCTCACGCTCCCATCGACGCCGACCAATCAGCGGGCGGCAACCTCCGGCGCGGGCGGCCGACGACCAATCAGCGCGCGACTCTAGCAACAGGTACCGCCCCATAAACCCATCAAATCCTCCTCTATTCATGTGGTGAGGCGGCGCGGCCGGCCGGCTCGCGCCTCCATAATCGTCCGGGGGCTAGCGCGGCGCGCGGTCGGCCTGTTCGCTGACGAGGTGCGTTCCCTGCCGGCTACGGAGAGGTCGGAGCGCGGTGGCGGCGGCGGCAGCGCGGCACCCTGTCGACCGCAGGCGACGCGGACCCGGACGCTTGGGCGGCGGAGCGCGGCGCGCTGCACAGCATGCTCGAGTTTAGTCCGCCGGCGGTGAGCACGTCCGCCTCGATGCTCTCCTTCTTCAACATGGACCCGTCGCAGCAGGGCGCCTTCATGTTGGGCAGTCCGCCGCTGGCGGCGCTGCATTCGATGACGGAGATGAAGCAGGCGATGCTGCAGTACAACAAGACGGCTGGCGCGGGCGGCGGCGTTGGCGGCGGAGTCGGCGGCGGCGGCGGCGGCGGCGGCGGTGGCGGCGGCGGCAGCGTGACGCCCACCAGCAGCGGCGCCGGCTCGCCGGTGGCCTCGGTCATCCCGCACGGCATCGACAGCATCCTGAACCGGCCGTCGCCCGGCCAGCTGGCGTTCGGCGCGCGGCTCGGCTCGTCCGGCGTCTACCTGAACTCGCCGCTGGCCAAGCCGCAGCTGGGCGAGTTCGGGCGGCCGTCCCCGCTCGCCTGGCCCGGCCTGCAGGGCATGATCCAGAACCCCGTCTTCTGGCGAGAGAGGTTCTCAGGTCAGTCGACAGGTGTGTATCACGCGGGGCGGCTGCCGGCCGTGTGGTGGACGGGTGTTTGTGTCTGCGTCGCACATCAGTTGACCTGGGCCAGACAGGTGTGCGCGTCACAGGCCAGTGAAGGTGTCCACTGGTCAGTGCACACGTATGTGGGTGCGTATATCACCGGTCAGTAACAGAAGGCTGTGCACACTTGACAGTCCTATGCATCGCAGATCACAGATTGGGTAAAGTATGCACCGTGCGTGTAAATCACAACTCAACCGGTGCATACATTGGACACGCATGTATTTATAGCCGGAACTTCATGAAATTTGCTGCGCACCGAAGATCAGATTTCCCCGAAGACTGTGTGGCGTTGTTACACCTTCTTGGTACATTACCTTAAATATCGAGGGGGGCCTTATGCACCTTAAACGGGGACGGACCTCCAACGGCGGAGATTAGCCCACGAGTACACAACAGAGCAGGCATAGCGTGTGTGGGACACTGGGACGCCTGGACAGGCGTATGCAGAGCGGACGGGCGACCGTCAGAGCTGTCACCTGTGGCAGTGTGGCAGCACTAGGACTTGAACCAGACGATTCTGACAGCTGGGCATCAGACACTGGCCAAATTCGGCACTGTTCGACGTTTGGACGAGTGGTAACAATGGATGGGTGGTGACGATGTATGGGATCCACTGTCCTGACCAGTGACAGTGGGTCCTGCAAAAGATGCAGCTATTGGCATGCGATAAACGAGTGTCTTCCAATGCCGACAGATGTGACTACCCGTGAAAAATGTGGAATCGATTGGAAGATCACTTATGGGGGGGGGGGGGGTCGTTACCTTCAGAAAAGATATGTCTTCAAGGGATCAACAACAAGGAATCCGGAGTAATACTTTATTGGCAAATGTGGTGTACACCATCAGCCTGATGCTGAATTGTAATGCAAACGGGTTGGGACGGATTCCCACCTACCGCGGGGACACAGAAGTTATTTTGAATTGTACCTGCGAGACTGTTACGAATGCTGCTCGTACGTTGAAACCTAATGTTATCTTTGAAAACTGCCAGCTACTTAATTTTTTCTTGGACATATATATTTATATACACACACACACACACACACACACACACATATATATATATATATATATATATATATATATATATATAACTGCATAATTTTAGGTCACTGAGGTCAACATCATGACGCAAACATCGAGGGTCCGAAAGGTGCTGACGTTGCCACACGAATTATGCCTTTTTTTGTTATTTCCAAGACTTACGACATCTAGTTCATATATGGTATGTCTCCGAGCAACACCACATACGTCATCAGAACGTTTTGAGTCCTGTTGTTAACAGCTATGCAAATGCTCCGCTAGTTTCGGGGAAAATAGCCGTGCTGAAGACGGCTTATCGTAGACGTACCACAATGTCAACACGCACACATGACCCATAAATTGCCACAAATATCACGCAACTCCCCAGTCCCCCTCATGACTCCTACGCCCCCCCCCCCCCCCCCCTCCAACCAACACACTCCACAGTCCGAGCGAGCAGCATCGTGGGCCGGCCGCGCCGCAGCGGGCGGGGCAGCGGCGTCGGCCATCGCTCGGGCCGACTTTACCGACGACGGCGATGACGGCCAGCGCGGCCCGGCCGGCCAGCGGTGGAGGAGGCGCCAGCAGCGGCACGGACCGACCTGGCCCCCGACGGCCCGCGTGCGGCGATCGGCTGGTCATCAGAGCTCGGCCGATGCGGCGTGAGGCAGGTGTCGGGGTGCTCAGCGTGGCTCAGAGTGCTCACGTGCGGCGGTCGGCTGGTCGTCAGAGCTCGGCCGATGCGGCGTGAGGCAGGTGTCGGAGTGCTCAGCGTGGCTCAGAGTAGTCCGCGTGCGGCGGTCGGCTGGTCGTTAGAGCTCGGCCGATGCGGTGTGAGGCAGGTGTCGGAGTGCTCAGCGTGGCTCAGTGCCCGCGTGCGGCGGTCGGCTCGTCGTTAGAGCTCGGCCGATGCGGCGTGACGCAGAGGACGCCGAGCACGGGCGGATCGTGATCAACGTGTGTGCCTCGTGCTGTTGGTATGGGTCTAAGTAGTGCTTACACAGCGCATCGTGGCAATTAAAACGCCATATTTCAAGAGCATTTGTGTCAACTGGGCATCAACCCGTGCACAAGATCAGACCTCGCCCACAAACAGATGCATGGCCAGCGGCATTGGCTGTGACGGCTTACCAGCTTAAGTCCGTCTTCTCGAGGTCCAGACGCTGACCTGGCCACCTTACCCGGCACGTGCTGGCAGCGGAAGACACTTCAAGTGCACCACACACCGCACGATCTTTCCTCGGTGCCGGTATACGTGACCTCACGTTGTCCAAATGTGTACGGTAGTAACAGAAGGTGCTCAAGAGGGGTAACGACAGATACGTCCCAGCAGACGCAGTAAAGGACTTCATAGTCGTGATACTGCCGATCTAACTTCTGCTTTTACGCCGCTTTCCAGTAGGTACCAGATACTTGGTCTGCCTTCAGCTGAACTCAAATCCTGCCGAGGCTGCGACGCGATATCGCACCAACGGCTACAATACCCTTGTCGGACAGTCTCCGCTCGTGCCCGTCCAGCTGACCGTGGCTACCTTCCAATGCGAGTTGGCGGCTCGTGGTGCGGCTCGTGCCCGTCCATCTGACCGTGGCTACCTTCCGACGCGAGGTTGCGGCTCGTGGTGCGGCTCGCGCCCGTCCAGCCGGTCGTTCCAGCCTTCCGATGCGGGGTGCCCGTCCAGCCGGCAGTGCCAGCCTGCCGATGCGGGGCAGCGGCTCGTGGTGCGGTTCGCGCTCCGTCCGATGCACTGTTATCGCCCTGGCACACCTCATCGTGTGGCCGCGCCGCTCCGGCCATGCTTTATGAGCGGTTTCATTCGGCCGCCTGTTTATTATTCGTTAATGCTGTGTGCGGCCGACACCGCCCTGTTTGTGGAGCGCGCCTGGCATTAGCCTTTATTAGCCGCTCCGATAGCGTATGCCAGCCGGCACAGAACGATTGTTTGCCAAACGATGGGGAGGAATCGCTTATGCGGCAGTGGTGGCGGCGGCCGAGCCGTGTTCGCTTCAAGCATGGCCGGCCGCAGCGCTGACGGGGCGGGCGTGTGACGTGTCAGGACATGCGTTTAGTCCTGTTCGGATAGCAGGATGTCGGCGACAATTTGGAGAATGGCCGTTCGTCATGGCAAGAGATAGTCCTTCTCTGGGCAGGGACGGCAGGTTGCAATTGGAAGGGCGGGTCATATCAGGAAATAGTCCCGTTTGGAGCAGGGGCGTTAGGCTGCATAGTTCAAAGGGTAGTGGTGTGTCGTATCGCAGACAGGACGGCACGGGCCAGCGGCCCCACGGGCATGGCAAAGTACCTTCGCCACTCAAAACAAGCGGTACTGTGAGGAGCACTGGTGTGAGGAAGCTCATTCAGGGCACTAATACCGCTCACCTGGTCCCGTAATTATAGGCCGGACCATGCGGCCGTGTGAGCTTGGAGGGAATGCTGCACAGGTTTCCAACGTGTTACCTTGGTTACTTGCATCCGCATGCTGTCAATTTCCACCATGGCAGCATGAGCTTCATACCACGTTAACACCGATTTGCTCCAGAGCTTAACCGGAGGGGTGGAGGTTATGCGGCCTTCCTGAAACGATCACACTAAATTAGATGGAGAGCAGCTTTGCGGAAGGCAGATATTTAGCATTTGTTCTCTCCCTGAGGGAAGTTCTGGCTTCGGGCCCGATTTGCCTCCGTATGCTGCCACGAATCACAGCGCTTCACACCTGTTCATGAACTGATAGCGAACGGGGTATCGACCTGGTTGTGCTTGGACAGATTAGAGCGGCTTACCATCAGCCTGCTGCACATATTCCACCACACCTCGATCTGCATCGTCCGTATGCCACCAGCAGACGTAAAGATTTGCACGCATCTGACATCGTTGAGTCTGAGGGCTGCCTCATTGTGTTTATCTTTGATGCGGCCTCTAGGGGTAGGCCAAAGGGGTGATTACATCAGGGCCATGGCTACTCTTCATCGAAAAACACATGCTTTGACACTTCAGGTTTGTTTTTGGGGGGAACATTCGTGACATGAGAAACGACTGGAACTCGGTCTCTCGGCTACGTTGTGCAGTACGCAACCTTGATGTTGCCGGGCCAGCCATTGGTCCGCATCGGTGTACAGACGCTGGCCTGAGTTCAGCTGTCGGCAGCGGCGCCGGGCGGCCGTGTGAACCAGCCCCGCCCCTGTCCGCAGCGACCAACAGCGCCTACGACCGCGACGGCAAGAAGAAACACACGCGACCGACATTCAGCGGCCAGCAGATCTTCGCGCTGGAGAAGACGTTCGAGCAGACCAAGTACCTGGCCGGGCCAGAGAGGGCCAAGCTGGCTTACGCGCTCGGCATGACAGAGAGTCAGGTCAAGGTAGGTCACCGGGCACCCAGCCGTCGCTGGGACCGCCGGCTGCGCTGGGCCAGAGTGGGACGGCGCCGTCATCGCATACAGGCGTCCTCTCTCCGCCCTCCCCGCACAGGAGCTTGTGCTGTGCCACCAAGGACTTGGTGGGTGCTCTTTGAGATCACTCTCTGGCTTTTACACGTTTGGGAAGGCTTGCGAGAATTTTTCACCTGGTGGGCGCGCTTTCGAAAACTACACCATGCTTTTAAACCATTAGTAACTATATGAGCATGTAATGAGTCGAATGCCACCTCAGAATAGCCATATAGCATGCCTGGTCCAGCGCCGCCTGGTTCCCGCAATATACGCCGCGTGACATGAGCATGAAACAAGACTGTACTGAACTAAATGGATGAGCACAAGAATAAACGAGGCATGTCTCCTCCAGAGCACGCAGTTCATTACTGCAATGTGCACGATGGCTGAAGGGGAAGAGAACAAATGTTACAGAGCTTCGATTCATGTGAGAGCTTTGACTAAGGTTTATGTCATTGGCTCAGTAAGATGAGACTGGAAATGAGATGAGTTTTATGCGAGCTGCTTTTGCTCTCAGATGAGTTGGTTTTAGTCTAATTAGGTTTTGAGTTTGAGTAGATTTTGTTCTGAGTCAATTTTAGCCCGCAGTGCGTGTCAAATCCGAGTGCCATGTTCCCAAAATATTTCAATTGGAGCCTGATTGGATTATGATTGACTCTAAACCCAAATTTAAATATTTCGTTATTGAATTGGTGAGTCGGAGTCAGAATGCGGTTCGCCTATTAAATTAATCGATCCATTTGAGCCCAGTTCTAAAGAATAATGAGTACGTACTGGAAGTCTGGCACAACCAAGGGTGGGCCAGAGTGGCACGGAGTGGCACCTGGTGTTAACAAATGAGTAGCTAGGAGCCTGCGTTTGCGTCACCTATGTTGGGGTCGAACATTTCACAAAACTATCTGCGTTAGCTGCAAAACACTTGTTTGACGGTACATTGCGCAGGAGCAGAAACAGGCAAATATACTCGAGCTATGGATCTGTTTAAATCTTAATGAGTTTGATTGGAACAATGGCGACATTCCTAGCAAGTCCAGAAAGTCTTTGGTGCGAGTTACCACAGTGCCTTAAAGGCCTGTTTTCCTGGAAGCGTCTTCGCTGGCCGTGCTGCTTGCGTCCTCTGGCCAACACAGCGAGGATGGGTTCAGTCACATGCGGGCATACTCGACCCAGCATGCAAATATGGAAAGGTTCAAACACGGCTCGGCTATGTCGTTTTTTCCACTTCCCTGAGTAACCCCACCAAAGCTAACTTAACAATGAGATATTATAATTGTACGGGCATCTGTAGATTAAACCATTCAAGACATGTCACTCCATCTCATGCAAGTTCGTGGTGGTGAGCTGGATCTAATGCTTCGGAGCAATTCAGCTAAACACTATTGCTCGATTGAGATATATTGCACAGACTTGTGAAGATTGCATTGAAACCACACTTGTCCGGCCAGGGAGAGGTGCCGGCGAGGGTGTATATCCCGCCAAACGGATGTCTAGTGAAGGCGAGTCTTTAAGCTTTTAAAATACAGCGACTCCCCTCCCCGTCCTCCCTCGTTTTTAAAACATAGGCATATGAAGGTTGCATAAAAACAATAACTCGCCCCATTACTTTGGAAACGTTAGATACATCTGATCTCCTGTATGTCATTGCGGCACTGCTCGGCCCCCGATTCGTGTAAAAACATATCCTGTTACCAGCTGGATCAAAACCCAAGATACAGCAAGCTGAGATTATCACATTTCATGATATTAATCTAAAACTCAAATATTCCAGGCGCTTGCGACCACGTCTGACACATTTCACGTCAAAAGAGCATGATTACCTCTCTCATACTTACCCCCAGCTTTCAATAAATCTGCCGCGCCATCGATCCCGTTCCTTTTCAAGCGATGTCAATTTGCAGCTCGCACGTCCTGTGTTCGGAGCCAACCATTGGGTCCGAGCCCGTCCCCGGCCACTTGCCCCCTCTGCTTCCCCCCCCCCCCCTCCTGTCGCCCCCCCCCCCCCCCCTCTCAGCCGGCCGTAACGACTCCGGTGACTGTCCACGTTTCATTACGCCGTATTACTTCATCCGAAAAGGCACCTAATCAATCGGCCTAGCGCTGCGCGACGCAACCCCACACTTGATCCATTAGCTGCTGATTTAATGAAAAACAATCCCCTCGCCGGCGCGTCGGGCCGACAGTTTCATGCAAGAGTTACAATTACGGGGTATGAAGTGTGCTGTCGCACCAGGAGCAGGAGTCGGCGCCGCCCGGAAGCCCACCGAGCGGCGTTCGCAGAATGGCGCTGCTGAGTGACGGCGGCCAACTTCGGCGCGAGTGCTAGATGTGGCGCCCTATCCGCGTGACTTTACGACAGCTGAGCAGCTGCGGATCGCGCGCGGCGTGACGGCCGGGACGCCGGGGCCTCACGCGGCGTGACCGGCCGGCGGCGCGCCCTTTAAATCGGCGGCGGTCGGCGGCGGTGACGCTTCATCGCCGCCGGCGTTCCGTCAGCGGTGCAGCTTCATCGCCGCCGGTGTTCCGTCAGCGGTGCAGCTTCATCGCCGCCGGCGTTCCGTCAGCGGTGCAGCTTCAATCGCGCGCCGGGTTTAGCGGTGCAGCGTCATCGCCGGCGGGCGTTCCGTAGCGGTGGAGCTTCATCGCCGCCGGCGTTCCGTCAGCGGATGTAGCTTCATTCGCCCGCCGGGCGTTCCGTCCAGCGGATGTAGCTTCATCGCCGCGGGGCGTTCCGTCAGCGGTTGTAGCCTTCATCGCCGCGGGCCGTTCCGTCAGCGGTGTAGGCTTCAATCGCCGCGGGCGGTTCCCGTCAGCCGGTTGCCAGTCAAAATTCACGGCCGCGGGGCGTTCCGTCAGCGGTGGCAGCTTCATCGCCGCCGGGCGTTTCCGTCAGCGGTGCAGCTTCATCGCCGGCCCGTGCTTCCGTCAGCGGTGGCAGCTTCATCGCCGCGGCGTTCCGTCAGCGGTGTGCTTCATCGCCGCGGCGTTCCGTCAGCGGTGCAGCTTCATCGCCGCCGGCGTTCCGTCAGCGGTGCCGCTTCATCGCCGCAGGCGTTCCGTCATCGGTGCATCGCGTTCCGTCAGCGGTGCCGCTTCATCGCTGCAGGCGTTCCGTCAGCGGTGCCGCTTCATCGCCGCCGGCGTTCCGTCAGTGGCGACCGCGCCGAGCTCTCCGAATTGTCTTCCTAAGCCGCGCCGCTCGGCGCGCCGTGTCTTCAATCTAAATCATCCGGGCTTGTAATGTTTTTAATTTTCTTCTGACAATGGAATGGATGCTGCCCGGCTATCCGTCGTAACGGAGATTGGCCGCCGAGCGCTGCCGGTTTATCCCGCCATAATTGGGGATCAGTTCCACTGTATGCCGGTGAAATAAGAAGACAAAAGGACTCATGAATTATCCCGCTCGGCGACGAGGCCGGCGCGCGCTGGCGCCAAAACCGCGCGCGTGTCGTGGCGCGCCCCACTCGTGGTCGTTATCAGCGTTTGATTTGTGTTTGGTGGTTTAATTTTATCCAGACAACATTGAGAAAAGCCAATCTGCGCCGCCTCCCCGTGATTGATATCGGCGCCATTTGAATTTAAATAGTGAGCCGGCCGGGGCGGGTACAAAGAGGCAATAAAGTCGACTAGGCTGCGGCGTCGCGGCGGCTGGCAAGACGACGACCACATCGATGGCGGCGAGATAGCCCCTCCCCCGCGTTCGCCGCCGCCGCTGCGCCCGCGCCGCGTCGCACCCGAGCCGGGTACTCAGGGTGACACGATGGGTGGGGTTAACTTC